TCTTAAGACCTGGGATATCTTTTTACACTTCCACTATAGGGACAACTTAACAGATGCTGAGAACGGGAACATTCAGCTGCAAGCACAACGCGCCTTTACCACCCGGCGGCAAATATCTGAAGAAACGGAAAGTGCTGACAACCGAGAGTCTTCCGAGGTATGAAGAGCCTCCTGGTTCTCATTGACAGGCACATTATAGCAATACATGAAAGTACATGTGGCTTATTCTGTTCATTTTAGAACTGGGAAATTATAAGAGAAGATGAAGTCTCCATGTATAGCAATCAGGCCTTCCCATCGCCTCCACCATCAAGTAACTTGGAGGTTCAGACTCATCTTGCAGAAGAATTGCATGCCAGGCTCACTATTTGTGGAAATTCAGCCACCAGCCAGCCAGTATCCAGCTCAGTAAGATGCCCTTAGACTTTGTTATGGCTTCAGGATTTTATATTATATATACTATACCATTCAACAACTTTTACATAAAATTTTGTCTTAAATGGCATGTAACAATATGTTAGGGGCCTTGAGACTTTACAGCATGGTCATTTCCAGCATTTCCACGGACCAGAGTCATGAGTCTAAATGCTCGTTATGTCAGGGCCCTCTAGCCAAAAGCACCAGGAATACTGTAACTGAACACATTGGCTTTAGTACTTGTTTGAGCAAGGGAGAACATACCCCATAGGTGTCTTGGTGATGGGCTAGTACAAAAGACCCACGTTAGGTGATTTTGAGCAGGGTTTTAGGGAGCAGGACTCTGCTCTGTGTTAGATGCTGTCAGGAAGTGGGAGTAATTGTGTATTTGTATATCTCTAAATCTAATCTATAGTAAGGCTAAAAGTTATGACGAGCAAAGAAGAGCAGTCACTTACATTTGCCAGATAGGGAAATACTTGGTATTTTGTGGCGTGGACAATGTTTACATTTTGTCTTTTTTCAGACATAATTGTAGAATAGTCTTGATTTTGTCTTGATTTTATCTATGAGTATCAGGCCACTTCCTGGATATCAGGGGCTGCTTTTCTCTCTCTCAGTTATAATGAAGTTTGAATGTTAGATCACAGATGTCACCAACACATATGTGATCATTTGTAACACTTGTCTTGTTATGATTAAAAATCGAGATAGTATTGAGGTATATAAGATAAAAAATTAAATCTTCTAACTTACCTCTTACGTATGTTCCATCCATCATTATTAATATTGTCTTAAGACATTTTCTATATATTCATAAATATGCATGCACGCATTTGCATATAATTTTTTAACCTGACATCATGTTAAAGAGATAAGTTATGTTTTTCACTTGTCATATCTTGGACCCTGGATTATCTCAGTGAATACTGTAGATGTACTACTTTTAAAACCAACAAAAATGCTGTGCACAGTGGCTCATAGCTATAATCCTAGCACCCTGGGAGACCCAAAGGAGAGGGTCACTTGAGCTCAGGAGTTCAAAACCAGCCTGAACAAGAGCAAGACTCCATGTCTACTAAAACAAAAATAAATAAAGAAAGAAAAACTAGCTGGGTGTTGTGAGAGGCACCTGTAGTCCCAGCTACTCAAGAGGCTGAGGCAAGAGCATTGCTTGAGCCCAGGAGTTTGAGGTTGCTGTGAGCTAGGCTGGTGCCATAGCACTCTGTCTCCAAAAAAAGAAAAAATAAATAAAACCAACAAAAATAATCATCAAACTCTGGCATATTTCATAGTACAAAGAACCCTTAAGATATTTCACCAGTCTCCAACTGATAGACTTGAGTGTTCACAGCTATTTGTTACTATTGTACATATAAATAGCCTAACAGTGGATATTCTGATTTATTTATACATGCACTATAAATTTGGCATCCTTAAATAACAAAACTAAGATACTTCAGATAGTGACAACAGCATATAAAGATTTAAGGAAAGAAAAAAATTGGGATTTTCAGGAAATAAATGATCTGGAATGCCAGCAGGTAGGTTGTGAGGTGGGAAGTAGCAGAAGAGGTCAGAAGAGGCAGGTCATGGAGCTCGAGAAGCATGGTGCTCTGTGTGCAAGGGCTTCAGCTCCACAAGGGCAGGGCTAGATGTGCAAGCATGGTGCTCTGTGTGCGAGGGCTTCAGCTCCACAAGGGCAGGGCTAGATGTGCATGTAGGACGCGCTGTAGCTGCAGCGCTTGGGCTGGAGAGTGGACATACGTAGGGAGATGAGACGTGAAGCAGGGAAACCTGTTATGCTGCCATAATAATCGAGGTGGCAAATAATGAAAGCTTGAAATTAAAGGAAAAAAAACCCCAAACTCGAACTAAAGTGGAGAGGGGGTATATTTGAGAATTAGTAAAGAAACAGACTGATTAGGATGTGGGCGCTGCCCACTAAAATGAGGAATAGCAGAAAAGGAACAGGTTTGAGTGGGTGTGGATGGGGAAAAACCAAATCCAGTTTTGGACACGCTGAGGCATCTGCTAGGCATCCCAGAGCAAGTGTCCGGGAGGCAGTTCAGCACTGAGGAAGCGGCAGGGGCTGACTGTGAGGAGGCCTCAGCGCTCTGCCTGCAGTCCCCACGGTGACATCCTCGCCAGCCTTCTCCCTCCTGCCCCACCGCACTCACCCTCACTACCTGCCACTCAGAGACAAATCAGAGATCTAAAGGTGTTACCATTCTGTTGTGTTTTTTTTTTTTTTACAAGAATCATTCCAGCAGAAGAGGCAGCTTACAAGCCTATACTTTTGAGGAACAACCTACACTTCCTGTGGTGAGTTTAATCCTCTGTCCTCGGTCATCAATAAAAATACAAAACTCCGCATCTTTTTTGATTTTTGAAGACTAAATGTGACTGTTTGACTGCCTTCCAGGAAACCAATACAGCACAGAATCTCTAGGTTCCTGGCAGTGAGGTGGGGGGAGGGGACGCAGAGCAGGATCTTTAAAGATAAACCTCAAACAACTGTCTCTCATATCAAGAAAGCAAAGCCTCTGAATGCTGGTGACGGGCTCGCTGGTTGAAGCACTGTGCTGGCTGGAGGTGATGTACTGTGTGCCCCACACGTTTGGGGACGATAATGGCCAGCTGTCCCTGCTCTGCACATGGCACGTAGCAGCCACCTTTGTACATCTGTGGCGTCAAACAACCTTTTCTGCCCTGGATGTGAAGCGTACACTGGCATCGGCAGGCCTGGCAGCCAGGTTACACTTTATCAGTCCCCTACCTCTCTCTTTCCTCCCTTCTCACATTCACCCTTCTACTGGGACCTTCTGTTCCCTGCTCAGTGGTTTCTGAGCCACAGGTTGGACCTTAAGAACTTCATGTCTAGACTGTTGACTCCCTGTGGTCTCCCAGCCTTCATCCTCTTCCTAACTCAAGTCTCATGACTCTGAGTTTGTCTCTCCTTTATGGAGCCCCCACTTGTTATCTCCTCATCTACCGCCGCCTGCTGCCTTCATCCCTGTCTGTGCCTTTTCTTCCTGAAAAGCTGATCCCAGGTCCTAATTCCCTCCCTCTTCTGAGCCTGTGCACATTCTATTTCCCTACTTGGAATGGCCGCCTCACTCTTTCCACCAACCATTTGTAATTTTGTTTTTTGTTTTTTTTTTTTGAGACGGAGCCTCAAGCTATCCCCCTGGGTAGAGTGCCATGGGCATCACGCCCACAGCAACCTCCAACTCCTGGGCTCAAGCGAGTCTCCTGCCTCAGCCTCCCAAGTAGCTGGGACTACAGGCACCCGCCACAATGCCTGGCTATTTTTTTGGTTGCAGCCATCATTGTTGTTTGGCGGGCCCGGGCTGGGGATTCGAACCCGCCACCTTAGGTGTACGTGGCTGGCGCCTTAGCTGCTTGAGCCACAGGCGCCGAGCCCATTTGTAATTTTGAATGACAGCCTGCATAGTAGTTTTGAAAAGCAGAGTACGTTTTTGTTTTTAGACAAATTTCAGCATAGAAGTACAGAGGCTCCAAGATCCTCGGCCTGAGGGTGGTTCGTCTGTCTAAAAAGATGCCCCACACTCAGAGGGGGACACCGATCCTGTGCTGAGAAAGGAGGGATGCCCACATGTGCAATCCACTGGTCTGGTCAATATTTATCATCAGCAGAGGGCAGATGTCATTGAGAAACTCTATTCACCAGCCAGGTGTCATTTGTTTGGCCTCCTACATCAGTCTGGGGCGGGGGAGGGGGGGGTCACTTATTATCACCTGTCCAGCCTCTTCCATTAGACCTGAGCCTGCCCCAGTAAAGTTCCTCAGTATTTTCCCCACTGTACCTTAGAATGTCCTCCATACAGTGAAAATGTTGAATTTCTTCTATTTACCAGAAAAGCTGTTTCCATGTATTTTTTTCTCAGTACGTTGGTTGGGGGATGGGGGGGGGTTAGAGCTTTCTTGAAGTATAATTTACCAGAAAACCCACCCATTTTTGAATGTACAATTAAAGAGTTTTTGCAAATGTATATAATTGTGCAAATATCACCATGATTGAGTTTACGAACACTCTGTCACCCCTAAGAGTTCCCTCAATCCCTGTGCCTACTGTCAGCCCCGAGCAACCACTCTCCTGCTCCCTGTTGCTATAGTTTTACCTTTTCTTAAAATTTCATATAAACAGAATGGTTTAACAAGCTGTGGTATATATACCATGGAATACTATTCAGCCATTAAAAAAATGGAGACTTTACAGCTTTTGTATTAACCTGGATGGAAGTGGAACACATTATTCTTAGTAAGGCATCACAAGAGTGGAGAAGAATGAATCCTGTGTACTCAATTTTGATATGAGGGCAATTAATGACACGGTAGGGGTGGGGGAAGGGGAGAGCAGAGAGAGAAAGAAGGAGGGAGGGGTGGGAGAAAGGAAGAGCAGAGAGAGGGAAGGAGGGAGGGGGTAAGGTCTTGGTATGTGCCACAGCTTTTAGGGGCAAGACACAATTGTAAGAGGGACTTGACCTAACAAATAAAATCAGCGTAACCTGGTTTCTTGTACCCTCAATGAATCCCCAACAATTTAAAAAAAAAAAAAACTTTAAAAAATTTTCATATAAACGGAATCATAAGTATGCCATCTTATGTCTGGCCTCTTACACTTTGCGTGACGTTTTTCAGAGAGATCCACATTGTTGCCTGTCTCCCCAGTTCACAGCATTTCATAGCATAGATATTTATGTATCTATTACATTTCATAGTTATTTACCAACTGATGAACACTTTTAAAACTGGGCAGCTTTTAATTTTATCATTTTGCAGTCTAACAGCTCATCATAACGGTCAGCAGAGTACTCACAGCACAGCGTTTAGTGAAGAGACTGCAGGTGGTGGTTTTTATGTTGTAAAGTCATTTCAGGGACCCGAGCCAAACCTCAAAGAATTAATGTGGTTCAAAGTGACAAAAGAAGGACCTGATCTAGGACTATTTTATGTAAACCTGAAAGTAACCAGACCTCTCTTTGTTCACTTTAACAGACTATGATAAAGAGCATCTCTTAGACTTTAGAGCAGTGGTTCTCAACCTGTGGGTCACAGCCCCTTTTTAACAATGAAAATACATCACGGCATTAGGAAGGTTGAGAACCACTGCTTTAGAGAAACATGGCAGAGGTGACTTTAGACTCTGCACGTAAGTGTGATTTCTGTATTTCATTTACCTGCACTCGAATCTCAGCTTCATTCCTTACAAACACTGTATCTTAGGAAATTACTTCAACTTTTTCAAGCTTCGATTTACTCATCTGTAAAATGGGCCAGTGTTGGCAGTTATCTCATGCTCATCAAAATCTGTGTGGCGATCAATTGACATGACCTATATTAAAATACCTAGTGTGTAGTTGTTATTGTTAACATGTTTTATTAGCGATGTTATCAGTGCCATCATTGTTGTCTGTTCTACTTTTTCCCAATTGAAACACTATGTACTGGGCCAGGCTCAGTGGCTCATGTCTGGCTCATGTCTGGCTCAGTGGCTATGCAGTGGCTCATGTCTGTAATCCTAGCACTTTAGGAGGCCAAGGCAGGTGGATTGCCTGAGCTCCCAGGTTTGAGACCAGCCTAAACAAGAGCAATACCCCCTTCTCTAAAAATATCTGAGCATTGTGGCAGTGCCTGTAGTCTTAGCTATTTGGGAGGCTGAGGCAAGAGAATCTCTTAAGTCCAAGAGTTTGAGGTTGCTGTGAGCTATGAGGCTATAGCACTCTACCAAGGGTGAAAGTGAGACTCTGTCTCAAAAAAAAAAAAAGAAAGAAAGAAAGAAAGAAACACCGTATACCTTACTTTGTGTACAATTGAAATATTATGTAAATGTGATTCATTTTACCAAATTGGAAAGGTATCATTTACCCATTTTTCCATTGTACTAAATGGTATTAGTTCAAACTAAAATAAAATATCATTCATTTTAAAGAGAGCTAATTGTGAAGCAGAAATATGAACCCTTTTAAAATGATTCTAATTAATACTGAAGTCTCCTGTTATTCTTCACTTTAGCTTTTGCCTACTTCATCTGGATTACCACCAGGTTGGGAAGAAAAACAAGATGAAAGAGGAAGATCATACTATGTAGATCACAATTCCAGAACTACTACTTGGGCAAAACCCATTGTACAGGTACCCTGTAATCTCTCTCTGTTAACTTATTTTCTTAGAGGATTTAAATGGTCAGATTTCCATGTAAACTATTACATCATTCTGTAGTATATGCTGGATACTTCTAGCATCTTCTGATTATTTTCTGACATTTATGCTAAGTGTCCACCATTTCCTCTAGTATATAAGAATTACTGCTAATTATATAAGTTATTACATAAGTCCAAGGGGGAACAAAAGGACAGTCTTTGGGTGGTTTCATAATTTTTGGAATGGTTAAGATCACATTATTTTGCTAAAAAATAATCTTCATGATTGATATCTATTAAATGTGTGATGATGACCCGACAGTATATGGGGCCGGTGCCCTACTCCTTCGAGCCACAGGCGCTGCCCAGTGAGCGCCTTTCATAATACTTCCTCGTAACAAGTGTTTGGCAAAATACTTACCACCACTTCTTTTCAGAAACTTTTTAACACTAAAAAGTACAGAGAAGAACATAGCAAATATATATGTATATTTTTCACACCCAGAATTTACCATCATTAACAAGTCATCATATTCATTTCTAAAAAGAGCCTTACAGATGAAGCTAAATTCCTTTTAGCCAAGCTCTTGGCCCAGTTCTTCCAAGGGAAACACCATCTTGAGTTTGTTATGGATTCTTCTAGCCTATTTTATATACTTAAATAGAGAGTCAAACAAAGCAAAATACTGTTTATGTCCATGAGTTTCAAATTTGGCATAGATACCATGCCCTGTAAATCTTAAATCTTTTTTTGCCCAGCATTGTTTTAAAGCCCTACCTGTGACATTATAGATGTAGTGTATTTTGCAGTTTTTGGCAGAGGCTGGGTTTGAACCCACCACCTCCGGCATATGGGGCCAGCACCCTACTCCTTTGAGCCACAGGCACCACCTTGTAGTGTATTTCTTTTAACTTCTAATATTCCATCATGTGAATATATTACCTTTCAGTTATCCATTTCTCTTTGAATGTTTGCCATTCATTTTGTCTACCCAGCATTTGAGTCTACTTCTAGGTGTGAGGAACTCTCCGTTTTATGAGTCTCGGCAGAGCAAAGACAGCTTCCTCCCACAGGCACTATTGTTCCCCTGCAGTGAGGGCTTCAGCCTGTAGATCTATCATCTGCCCTCACAGGCAGCCACAACCGACTGTTAACTACCATCTGACCGCTTGAGAGGCCGCTGAGAAATTATATATTATTGTAAAAATAAAGTCTGACAAAATACTTTATTAGGAAAAAGTTAATACAATGTTAGGGAAAAATTAATATGTCATAACTACATTTGAAAATGAGCCTCACATGTTTAGGGCCTATTTATAAAGGTGTATTCTGAGTGCAGGTTAAGTAACCTTTTTAACACAGCTATTTATGAGTTCTCTATTAAATATTACAACACAATTTAATGTGCTAGGCCACAGTGGAGACCAGTCAGCTGCCATCAAGCCAGACTTCTTCTTCAGGCCCTCAACCACAGGTCCCCACAAGTGATTCAGCACAGCAGGTGACCCAGCCGTCTGAAATTGAACAAGGATTCCTTCCGAAGGGCTGGGAAGTCCGGCATGCACCAAATGGGAGGCCTTTCTTTATCGACCACAACACCAAAACCACCACCTGGGTAACTTAAGTACTCTTGAGTTGAAATTATAACAATAATAATAATCTCGTGTATAGTTATTATAATCTTTAAGTATGCATTAGTATACATTAGTGTAACCTGTGTGTCCTGGTATTCATTAAAAGAGGTATGTTGAATTCTTTCTTTTTTTTTTTTTTTTTTTTTAAACAGAGTCTCAAGCTGCCGCCCTGGTTAGAATGCTATGACATCACAGCTTTTAGCAACCTCAAACTCTTGGGCTTAAGCGATTCTCTTGCCTTAGCCTCCCAAGTAGCTGGGACTATAGGTGCCCACCAGAATGCCCAACTATTTTTTGTTGCAGTTGTCATTGTTGTTTAGCTGGTACAGGCCGGGCTCGAACCTGCCAGCTTCGGTGTACATGGCTGGTGCTATAACCACTGTGCTATGGGTGCCACGCCAGTATGTTGAATTCTTAATATTTTTTGTATTCAGTATGCTTATGTCTCCTTTTAATATTGTTTTGGGGCCAGGTATGGTGGCTCACACCTGTGATTCTAGCACTTTGGGAAGCAAAGGCAGAAGGATTGCTTGAGCCTAGGAGTTTGAGACCAACCTGGGCAATAGCAAGACCCCATCTCTACAAAAAAAGAAAAAGAAAAATGAAGCTTATCCAGGCATGGTGGTGAGCCCCTGTAGTCTCAGTTAGTTAGGAGGAGGCTGAGGCAAGAGTATTACTTGAACTCCGGAGTTTGAGGTTATAGTGAGTTATAATGATGCCACTGCACTCTAGCCTGGGGAACAGAGCAAGACCCTGTCTCTCCCTATTTTCATATATACATACATAGTTTTGGATTGGTCTAGATCATCAGCCAGAAATGCTGAGGATAATATGTAGTACTTATCCTTTACCATTATATGGTATTAACAGTTCCAAAGGGCTTTTGAATCTGCATCTCATTTATAAGTCCTTACTAGAAAGAATAATTGTTTCTAAGACAAGGCTTAATGTCTTAAAAGTTGTTTAATAGTAAGTTCACCACTAATAGAAAAATTATGCAAAGTTAGCAGCAGATAAACTTTAATTGTTAAAAAGGCTAATAAAATGAAACTTTTTAGTTTAAATGAAACTAAAATTGTTTAATAATTTAACAAAATATTATTAAAGTAATATATGTAAATGAAACCAAACAAATTGAATTTTGTTCTCTATTATAACAATCTGAATTGAGTTGTATAACCTTTTGGAGCTTACCTTCCTATCTTTCAAAACATTAATAAATCAACACTGGGCATAGTGGTTCACACCTATAATCTTAGCACGTGGGAGGCCTAAGCAACATAGTGAGACCCTGTCTCTACTAAAAATAAAAAAAATTAGCCATGTGTAGTGGTGCACACCTGTAGGTCCAGCTGCTTGGGAGGCTGAGGCAGGAAGGTTACTTGAGCCCAGGAGTTTGAGGTTGCTGTGAGCTATGATCATGTCACTGCCCTCATGCCTAGGTAACAAAGCGAGACCCTACTTCCAGAAAAAAAAAAAAAAATGTATGTATATAAATCAATGCTTAAATATATAGGTGTCAAAAAAGCATGCTTAGAGTCTTAGAAATACATGTAGTTCAATTTAATGTTCCATTCTTTCACCGGTTTATATGTAGAGAAAATCCCTATGTAGTGACAGAATTCCTGAAGAGTGGGGCAAAATAACTCTGAATGGTTCCTGTGAGAGAGATGATCAGTTAGTAGTTCTCTGTGAGAACTGATTTTTATTCCTTTTAATACAACAGCCTGAAAGTTACAGATTTTAGAAGGGGAAATTATGTCACAGATTAAGGAAATAAAGCACAAATGGACTTTTGTAAGAGAACATTTTAAATATGCATTGGCCTTAGAAAATATGGTAAAACACTGGCCTTTATTATTTTAAAATTGATGTGTGTATATTGTGTGCTTTTTTTTTTTTTATTTACTCCACCAAAACAGGAAGATCCAAGACTGAAAATTCCAGCTCATCTGAGAGGAAAGACATCGCTTGACTCTTCCACTGACCTAGGGCCTTTACCTGTAAGTTTATAGACCTGCTCCCAGTCTAACGAGGATAAGACATCTTCTGTTTTGAGATATAGCAGTTCTTTAACAACTGTTATCAATATTATCATTAAAATTGTTGATGCCTTCCACTAAAAATGAAATATGTACTAATTAAATTAACCACATAACCATTACTATTTTTTCTATCAATACATCTAAAACCCTCTCTTAAAATAATTGAAATGCATTCTTCATTATAGCCAGGATGGGAAGAGAGAACACACACAGATGGGAGAATCTTCTACATAAATCACAGTATGTACAGTATGATTTTTCATTACATTTTTTGTAATACTGAATTTTGTGCATAAGAAAGAACATGTTTTTTCTCCTTCTCTTTAGATATAAAAAGAACCCAATGGGAAGATCCTCGGTTGCAGAATGTAGCAATAACTGGACCAGTAAGTCTCTGTTGTCCGTGCACTCTGATGGGATTGTCCTTTCACCTGTCTCTTCAAGAGCAAATGGTCAAGGGTATAACTATTCAGGCACTGCAAGAAAAGCACATTTGCCATTCTGTCCTCTCCCCACCACCTCTAGTCCAAGACTGCTATTTGAAAAGATTTCATAAAGTCATTAATTATCCTTAATCTACACAATGGCCTTAAGAGACCTGTGTATCCAGATCGTCAAAATGCTGAGGTAATGGGCTGCTGAACTCAGTTGGCACTGCTATTGTCTGAAAAAGAATGTTGACAGTCCTCGACAGGTCAGAGAGCAGTCAAGAGGGTATCAGGATGAGGAGGCGGCAGCGCCCTTTCAACTCTCGGTTCATGTCTTGAACTTTTAGGTAGAAACCATTGTTAAGTGCCCAGTGTATAAAGACACACCACATTCAAGTATAAACATTACCTTGTATGATGATCACTCTTGAGTTAGATTAATGATAGAATTGTTATCCTCTTTCTATAGCTGATTTTTCCTTTTTTATTCAGATTTTGTTTCTAATTCACAAAAATAAGTAAAATTGAAGATGGAGATTTTTTAGATTACTTTATGGTAGTTCCGTGTGTAGTCTTTTAAAATAATGGATAAAAAAGGCAACTTTCCTCAAAGTTCAAGGAAAAAGTACACTTTTCAAATTGTTCCTTCAATGGAGAAATCACTTTGAAAGTCTTGTTAGAAATGGAAATTTTTGTCTCTAATATTTCTCTACTTGGAAGAAATTTTCTGTTTCTGGCATGTTGCATTTTAAGAATCCTGCATGATGAAAATTACAGCCATAGAGAGTGCTGCATACAATTTTATCTTAAACAGAGTAATTAAACACTTTAAATTTTTATATTTGTTTTTCTTATAATTAAACTTTGTCTGAATATTCTTTTTTAATGCCCTTAACTTGTGTTCATAAAATACCCCAAGGGGAACTTTTAAAATTGTTCCGGAGTGGAAAAAACCTAAACCCTCTTTATTTTTCCAAAATTTTCAACTAAAGGCTGTACCCTACTCCAGGGATTACAAAAGAAAGTATGAGTTCTTCCGGAGAAAGCTGAAGAAGCAGGTTAGTGGTATTTATGATAAGTACTTAGGAATGATCATTATATAGGCTGAAAGTAATGGGAAATGCTTATGGAAAGTTAATAGAACATTTGTTCTGTATTTGTAACAACTTGGAGTAAATAGTTTCTCACAGGGAAAGGATACTTATTTTTTTTGAGTAGCTGTTATACCTCATTAGAGACCATAAAATATTTTATAATATAGAAAAATAGTATTAAAAGTTTGCTTTAAAGAGCTCTAACCTGGTGTTTCCTTGTGGGGTTCATGGGGCTTGGTCTTCATAGGATCTAAGCAAGAATAGCTTGGGAGATTATCTTCTGGCCTCGTCTTTGATTGTTTTGGCAGACTCTTTGGATTCCTTTACTACTTTGACTTGTTTTCCAGTGTTAGTCATTCATTCTTTACAGCTTCAAAAATATCTCTGCATAATTGAAAAATATAACTAGGAGTGGAACAGTTGTCTTGCTACGTCTCCTTGTGTTGATCAGTTATATTCACTACACTTTTTTCCATCACCACAAATTCAGTATGTTTAGAACTAAATTCAACATCCATCCATCTATTTCTTTTCTGTTGGTGCCGACCATTTTTAATGCCTTTCTAATGTGCTTATCCTTTCTCCCTTTCCCTGCAGTTTAGGGATACTACCACTAGGTGGCTATATTGGGTTACACTTTCTTGCATTGTAAGCCAGAAGCTTGCTTTTCCAAAGATTCAAGATGGTGCGGCTGCTACCACAGATTTTTCATCCAAAATTTTAACCAAAATGAAATATGATAATTTAGTGTAAATAGTCTATGTCCTCATACAGTCCCTAAGTACTAGCAACCTTTTAAATTCATTTTGAGGGATTTAATATTCCTCTGGGAATTTGTTTTCTACTTCTAGCTTTGGTATTTTAAATCTTTGTTCATTTATTGTTTTGGTAGAGGTTTTCATTCTTACAGAAAATATGCTGGTAGAATAGAAGCCCTAGCTTCTTCATTTGCCACTGTGAGTGCTTGAAATACATCACGATACCTAATTGTTTACATCTTCTAGGTAGCAGGAGATAGGAGACAGGCCACAGAATAAATAATAATAATAATGATGAAAGTAATTATACTTACTGATTTCTCAGTATATAACAGGCATTACTCTTAGCAGTTTACATGTGCAATTCATTTAATTTCTACAATAAACTTTACAGAAGGGACTATTAGCACAGTGTACAGGTGAAGAAACTGAGGCACAGATGATAAGGTAACATGATTGAATCCCATGGTTATTAAGTAGAAAAGCCAAGTGGTCCAATTCCAGATTCCATGCTCTTAAAAACATGCATACCATATGAGTGATTAAGAGAAAAACTTTCTAAAGAACTTACTCAGAACACAGCAAAGGTACATAAAGGGATAAACATATAAAAAAAAGAAAGGTTAAGAGACACAAAGTCATTGCAGGAGGAGAGAATCATGATCATGAAGAGGAGGCTGAGAATCTGGATCCTCAGATTAACAAAAAGTTCCAAGCAGGATTGCAAAAATAAACTCTAATCTAAATACATTACAGCACAAAAAAGCAGAACACTGAAATTAAAATTGATAAAAACCAATAGGCCAGGAGCGGTGGTTCACGCCTATAATCCTAGCATTCTGGGAGGCTGAGGGAGGCGGATTGCTTGAGCTCAGGAGTTCAAGATCAGCCTGAGAAAAAGCAAGACCCCTTCCCTACTAAAATTAGAAAAACTAGCCAGGCATTGCAGTGGGCGCCTATAGTCCCAGCTACCAGGGAGGCTGAGGCAAGAGAGTAACTTGAGCCCAAGAGTTTAAGGTGCTGTGAGCTATGATACTACAGCACTCTACTGAGGGTGACAAAGTGAGACTCTGTCTCAAAAATAAATAAACCAATGTTTGAAAGCCTCGAGCTGACCTTTTATTGATTTTATTTATTTATTTGAGTAGGGTGCTATGGCATCATGAGCTTACAGTAACCTCAAACTCTTGGGCTCAAGTGACCCTCTTGCCTTAGCCTCCCAAGTAGCTAGGACTACAGTTGTCTACCACCATGCCCAGCTAGGTTGTTTTTTTTTTTTTTTTTTTTTTTCTATTTTTGGTAGAGACAGGGTCTTGTTCTTGCTCATGCTGCTTTTAAACTTCTGGGCTCAGGCAATAATCCTCCTGCCTCAGCCTCCCAAAGTGCTAGGATTATAGGCTATAGACTATAGGTGTAAGCCACCATGCCCAGGTTTTTTTGTTTGTTTTTAAGAAACAGCATCTCACCCTCTAGTCCAGGCTAGAATGTAGTGGTGTGGAAGCACTTTAACATATCATCGCACTGTCTTGAAACTACTCCATGCAGGTAGATATTACTATCCCTATTTTATAGATTAGGAAATTAAGCCTTAACAAAAGAGAAGTAACTGGCCCAAAGTCTCACACTTAGTGAAGGGTGGAGTCAGGACTTGCACACAGCCTGATTCCAGAATCCACCAGCTCTCCTCTGCTGCTCCTTTCCAATGTTAAGTCTCCTCCTGGGAGCCTTCTCTTCTTCCATTACCATTGCTGCTTCCCAGGTAGGATGTCTCCTCTCACACGGGCTATTTCAGGGTCTTTCCCTGACCAGTGTGCCTCTTGTCCCAACTCTTGAAGACCACCCTTTCCTCCCATACCATCAGTTTCTGAGAACTCAAACCGCTCAGAAGCACTCTCCCCAGTCTTGCCATTCCGTCGGCCTCTCCGGCCCCACACTACTTCTTCTTTCACTGTGGGCCCTGCTTTTCCTCCCTTTCTTCTTTTCCTCCTTTTGCTTGTAGCTGTTAAATCTCTCAGACTCCCCCACATGCCGTTCCTCAGTCCTTCCCTCCCCAATGGACCAAGTCTCTCCAATGGTCTCTTCACAGTTAATAGCTCAATCTTTGACGTCCCCCGTAGAACACTGTTTATATCTCTGTTAGCAATTATCCTACTCTTTTAAGTCTCAGTTTCTCACATACACACCAGATTATAAACTTCTTGAAACAGCAGCCACATCTTAGGCCCCGTTTTATCCCCTCTTTTCCCCCATCCCTGGCCCTACCACAGTATCTACCCAGCAAAGGGCCTGGCTCAGAGGAGGTCTTTGATAAATGCTTACCTGCTCTGGCTGCCTAGTCTCCAGTCTAAAATTGCTTTTCTCTAAGCTACTGATTTTTTTTTTCCTAACCTTTCTTTCTTTTTTTTTTTTTTTTTTTTTTTTTTTTTTTTTTTTGAGACAGAGCCTCAAGCTGTCCCCCTGGGTACAGTGCTGTGGCATTACAGCTCACAGCAACCTCCAACTCCTGGGCTCAAGCGAGTCTCCTGCCTCAGCCTCCCAAGTAGCTGGGACCACAGGTGCCCGCCACAGCGCCCGGCTATTTTTTGGTTGCAGCTGTCATTGTTGTTTGGCGCGTCCGGGCTGGATTCGAACCTGCCACCTTAGGTGTACGTGGCTGGTGCCTTAGCCGGTTGAGCTATAGGCACAGAGCCTTTTCCTAACCTTTCTTTCAAACTTTATTCCCAGGCCTCTTCAGCTTAAGTAGCTGCAAAGAATGAGTTATGTATAAGCAAAAACTGAAAAGAGCTGCAATGTCCAAGGAGCTTGGGGTTAAAAATATTAGAGATCTAGATTTTATTAGATCTAGAAACAAAAAGACTTTTAAAAAGCAGTCATAATATAAAATAGCAGCTCCCAGGAACTTCAAGTTTCATCTTCAGACGTTGACTGAATTCAGTTTGCCTCATTCTTGGAAGCCTCATCAAAATTCTCCACAGGATCTGGAACTTCATCCTCATCAACCTCTCCCGTAGCAAGTGGTGCTCTTCCGTCCACAGACTGTGTAGGCAGAGCTTCAGCTGCCTCCTCCAGCTAGTCAGCCTGTCTGCACCCAGCTGGTTTAAGGTGCCGGGTAGCATTTCTGTCAGCTGCTTGGTCTCGGCATGGCCTGTAATGGTGAAAATGTTTGCTGCCAGAGATGCCTGAACTTTAGGGTTGTTAAAGTGCGTTACTGCTCCTTGGTTTGTAAACATACTCACCTCTTCAATATCAGAGGTATTGTCTACCCCTGACTGCTTTAAGGAGAACTGAAGTTTTTTATCATCTGCTGTCGCTGTTCTCTGAACCACCTTCTTCTTTCTGTGAGCAGTTCCTTTCCCGCCACTGCGCGCTTGTGCCTGCAGTGTGGTGAGTTTCTCTTGGTTCCTGGTAGGTTCTTTCATCTTGTCGGAGCGTAAAGGGGCCCACACGGCGGACGAGGGTTGGTGCTCAGGGGTCTCAGGTAGACCACGAAGCTTCCCATTTTTATGGCATAAGCAGCGGAGGAAACTGCTTACATCATGCTTACATCGCATACATAAGCTGCTTCCATCATTGTTCATTTAGAGCTTTCCATTTTCCCCAGATACATTGAGAGTGAAATTGATTTTTTTTTTCCCTTAGAGCTGGCCTCTTTTCCCTTTTCTGAAGTGACAGAATGTTGTTTTCTCTACTAGTTTCCACTTGAAAACTGTACATGAAATACTCAGGAATAAAATATTCCAGTTTGTTTTTTTTTAAATAAAATTCACACTAAGATCTGCCTAAGGCATAATTACCTACACTTGTCACATAAATGAAGGCCACACAGAAGACGAGCGAGGCAACATAGCTCATTAATGAAAAGCAAAGACCTAGGAGTAAAGGCTTTCTTAACTTCTGTCTTCTTCAGTTTCTTCATCTATAAAATGGAGACAATAGTCCTTGCTTCTTTAGAGATTGTTATAAGGCTAAATGAGTTGATTCCCCACCCTCGGGGAATGCTGCCAGGCAGTCTGTAAATGTTAGCATCTATTAGAGAGTGAGGCAGGACAGACTCCGAGGAGGGAAGGTGGAAGCAGGTGAAACCCCTGACAGGCAAGACAATGGCTAGACTATAAATCACAGAACGGTGTTCCCTGGAACTTAAAATGGAAAGGACTTCTAATGAAATGCCATCATGTGGGCAGTATCATCACCAGCAATAGCTTCTTCAGATCTAAAAATCAAAAGTCGGCTCGGCGCCCGTGGCTCAAGTGGCTAAGGCACCAGCCACATACACCTAAGGTGGC